CAAGAAGAGGATCGTTTTCCTAACTTTTTGGAAAATCTGAAAAGTTTGAGGTCATACTGATCCTTCATACTGCAAATTTAGTATTGTCGGGTTAGCACTATCACAACTGGTAGGTAGAGATGTTGCGAACATGCGTACTATGATTAACCAGTCAAGGTAAATTGGCTACCTTCAAGGTATTATACGTCATGACATCCTGAATTAAGGCTAGACGGAGGTTTCAAACTTTGTCACCGAGTGGGTTTTATTAGAATTTCTTTGACTAAGCACTCGATAAAAATTCGGGGTGGAAACGTAGGCGATTCAGTTATTGACAGAATGCTTAGGAAAGTCGTTCAAAAATGGACGTCCAATACGGACCAACAAAAATGAAAGATGCCTTGTTGGACAAATATTCCTTTGGAACCATAATGCCCTGAGGCATTTGCTCTGCTTCTCTTCAATTAAGCGAATGTGGGGCACATTTACATGTGTGTGTAGACAATAGTTGCTCGACCGTCTGATGCACTGATTCCCATGACAGCAAGAAATCCGAAAAATAATATGGAAGTGCACTAGAACGTTCAGTGTTTTTCTGAACGTTCAAAGCGGTAAATGGTGGATGCAGATGGCCAGCGTTAAACTTGCGTTTACAGACTCGATCAAGCTTCTGCGTAAAAATATCCCAATAGCCAGTTTACCTTTGTAAGACATCGTTCAATAAGTTGGTCCATTTGAATCATAATCGTGTTTACTTTTTCCTTGTCTTCTGGTTAGCTTTTGAAAGTCTATCGTGGCCATCAGTACGAAGTGCATTAAGCGTGAAATCGGTTCTTCTGACAACGAACTTTTTTGCTTTGCCGAACTGCTAATGCACTGAATAGTGTTTGACCTTCAGATTTGAAAACCCAAACAAGTTTATGCGCCACCCGATCTGTGTTGAATTTCTGCAAACACTGCTTTGTATATTTGCGTTCGACACTTGTTTTGCATGCAAGAGTTATCGAAGGATGAATTTTGTTTGATGGGATATCCACCGGGCCCATCGTACAACTACCATCATCATTACGCCCCTAGCATCTTACAGTACCAGGTACTTGACTTTAACGCTTGTGACTCTCAACCACAACTCAAGCAGGACGCTCCCCCACCTTTCTTTTAAATACACTTTCCGAATGATGGATTACTACCTACAAACCGACCACATAAATCCACTCCAGGATACCAACGATCAAATTATCCTGAATTTGT